TTTAGCGATCTACAATTTCGTTTCCTACAAACCAACAAAAATGATCGATTATGTCTGTGGCACTGAGCTGGCTTGTGCGATGCTGGGATGCCGGAAGCTATGTCAGTGGTATTTCAAACGCCAGCAGGGTCACCCCAAGTGAACAAGTTTCAGCTCAGTGGGGCTTCCAGACAAAGTACAGATTGCAAAGAAGGAATTGGCTGCCCACTCAGGAGGAAGTAGCTGCTGAAAACCGTGTGCCTAGCTTTGAAACACGGCCTCCAGTAGGGAAGGCAAGAATGCTACCACGGAACCATCCATGCCCCCCGCAAGGCCCCTTAGGGGCCACAATGGGAAAGACTGGTGGGGGATGCTGGTATAGACAAAGGTGGCCCTGGTTTTATGCACGGTAACTCCTGAGAATGAGGGACAGTAAGAAGTCTTCTTCTCCCTGTCAGTGAGGAAGCCCCCACCCCTGCCACTTCCCCCGGACCAGCCTCCCCGGTTGAATTCCAGAGGACAGCAGGTTCTTGCTTGGGATGCAGTGGCTCATACCTGCTGTTGCTGCCACAGTAGAGGCCCCTGAAAGAGCCGACCACGGGGGCAGAGGGGCTGCCACACAGACTCCCTGGAGCCTGACTCCCACCACCACTACGACCACCCCGACCCCTGGGGAAGGAGAATTAAAGAGAGCAGAGGGTGAGGAAGGAGCCCTAGCCCATGGCCTTCTGGTTTGCAACCCTGAGCCGACCAGCAGGGCATTGCCTGTGCCTGGGAGTGGGGAGAGAGGCTAAGAAAGGGAACCTCTGTGACTCCCCACCCACCCACCCACCCCACCCCCAGCAGAAAGAGCCAGTAGGCTTTGGGAGGAGAAATTCACAGGAGAAGAAGGAAGGAAGGACAGGAGAAAAGGAGCTCTCGTGAGGCAGTGGGTCGCTGTTGGGCTGCTAACCACAAGGCCAGCAGTTGGAATCCACCAGCCGCTCTGTGGGAGAGCGATCGATGGGTCTGTCTGCTCCAGCGAAAGCATTAAGCCCTGGAAAGCCACAGGGGCAGTTCTACGCTGTCCAGAGGTGCTCTGAGTCAGAATTGACTCGATGGCAGTGGCTCTGGAGAGTTTTGGAGGCTGCAGACCGAGTCTTGACCACGTGTCAGGTAGATGCCACCCACCCGCTGCGCTGCACGGCGCTGTGGGTCCTATCATCGTCATGGGGCTTTGTCCACCCACGTAGGCACTACCATATTCCCCGTGCCTCAAACAGTGTGGGCAAGTAGGATCTGTGCAGTGCATGTGTGCAAAGTGGATAAAGAGATCTTCCAGTTTGCACAGAGAGGTTAAGTGGCTTTTCCAAGTCAACACCACTAGCAAGTGACTCAGTAGAAATTCAAACCTCCGTCGTCAGTTGCCAGAGCCCACCTTCCTAAGCCCTGAGCTTATCTGGGGTCAAAAGTCCCAGGCAGGACCCATCCATGGGTCCCCTCCAGAGGGTCCCATAGGATGATGAGGGAGCAGCTAAGAAAAAGGAAGCTTTCCAACCCTGCCACTTCCTATCAGGCCAGGCCAGGCCAGGCTGAGCCTGCGGTCCTCACACTGGAAAGGCACGCAGCCCCTGACTCGGCCGCAAGGGCCTGTACCCACAGGAATCCCAAATGCAGAGAAGCCGAGGAGAAAACCACGCCGGCCTGGATCCGTGCATTGGGGCTTCGGCAGGGGGAAGGAGGGGCGCAGCCAGAGCAAGAAGAGCCACCTTACCAATCCATCGCAATTGCTGATGGCAACAGCTGCCCCCGGCATGCCTGTGACTCCTCCGGTATAGACGCACTCGGGCCACAGAGGCTGCCGGAACAGCTCCTGAAAGTCCTCCTGCCACTGGACTGATGCTCCAGGCGCCACCAGCCGCTGATTGGGCCACAGGTGCAAGTGGAGCTCCTTCCCAAAAACAGTGACATTGAAGTAGAGGGAGTGGCGTCCTGCCCTGGTGGGGGGCGGGGTCTCACGGTCAGGGTGCAGTGGGCTGCGGGCCACCCGCTGGTGCCTGGAGTGGGATGGTGGTGCCGGTGGCCTGCCCACCACTGGGCTTCTTGCAGAGGCTGCTGCTGGGCCAGACACCACATGGGAGAGGAAGCGCCCCCGAAAATCTGTGCTGCAGGGGATGGTCACAGCGTAGCCACGGAGCTTTCCGGAGAAGCGCGGTGCTGTGGGAAGCAAACAAGAGTGCTGCAGCGTGCATCGCAGTAACCACAGTGAACCAAGCCCACGGCCACTCAGCCGACTTGGCCTCACCGTGGACATCCGCCAGGTTTTTGAGATGTCAGTCTTTACGGGAACAGCCAGCCTCGGCTTTCCTTCACCAAAGCGGCTGGTGGATTTGAACCACGGACCTTGTAGCTAACAGCCCAGCGCCTAACCCACAGTGCTACCAGGTCTCCTTCAAAGAGCTAAGAGGAAATCTGGAATTTCATGGGGACAGGAGACTGGACACAAGGCGTGGCCTGCAACCCAGAGTATCAACTGACTGGACCCCAAGTTCATCCATTTTCCATTCATCGCTTCCTAAGTTCCCAGGGCTGTACACCTGGCTGAACAGTGTTCAAATACTTTATGGTCATAAATTGCTCACTGTAATCCCAGAGTCTTTTTAAACTTAAACAAACCAAAACAAGTATTTGTCATCAAGTGACTTCCAACCCGAGTGAAGCCGTGGGAGGCATTCTAAAGGTTGTCAAGGCTTTGACCTCTCAGAAACAGATCACCAGGCCTTTCCTCTGAGGGGCCTCTGGGTGTTTGCAAACCACTAAACCACCCAGTGCTTCACTATTTGCTCCACTCAGCTGAGGGACTCCTTTTTTAAACTTTGCAGAAGAAGAAGAAACAATGCCAAACAGAACACGGTCACTGTAGCAACAGCATTCCAGCTGTGGGCACTGCCTAGCAAAGGGCTGGAATTCCCCGAAAGCCCCCAGGCAAAGGAGGGACGCTTGCTCTGGCCCTGCTCCCTCAGCAACTGAAGTCAGCGGGCTGCCTGGGGTAGGACCTCCCCTCCCCACCGTGTCCCAGGCACATGCCACACAGCGGGGAGCGGAGACACACTGTGTGAAGGAGAGAGGGCGTTGGAGAAGGCAGGGGGAAGACATAGTTCTATGTTTTGCTAAGTTTAGAAAGAAAACTTTTTTAAGAAGCACAGAGGCGGCTGAGAGTTCTACATGGCCAGGCCCCAAGCCGGGTAAATATAGATCTTCAAAAATAAAAGGAGCCGAGCAGGGTGACCTGCCCACTGGGCTGAATTAAGTGTGAGGTCATGGCCGGTGCTCCAGGCGCCGGGCCAGTGGCCCCATCCTCACACAGTGAGCTCTCCCTGGGCCAGCGGGGAATGACAGCACTCTGGCGTTCAGGCCTGGTGATTCAGGGACAGCAGTTTGAGAGGAAATTTCATCTCCACAGCGCCTTCCCCTCCCAGCACTGATAAAGCCCAGAAATGAATGGT